AGCCACAGCTTCTCTGAGAATTCTATCCCAGTCCCTCTCCACCCACTCAAGAAATTGGGAAAGAATTCCCAAGAAATTGGGAAAAATTTCTTCTTCTCAATATGCCATCCTTGGTGCCTGCAGCTGGAGAACACAGGGACTGACAAATCATGGTAAGAAAATGATTTTTATTTCTTTTTTTATTTTTTTCTATTTTGAATTTCTTTTTTTTTTTTCCCTTTTTTTTAAATGGAATTTCTGCTTGTTACAGATATGGTTTATTTCTGATAACACAGCTTGGCAGCAATTAAAAAAAAAAAACAAAACAAACCAAACCCACTGCAACTGAATTAAACCCCATAAATACCAGCCCAGAAAACAATGGACAACCACCACTATTTCTATACAGGAACTATTATTTAATGTCACATTTTGACAACTGTAAATGGGCTACAGACTGTGGGCAAAAGGCAAGAGGTGAAATCTTTTTGAAACACCAGATGTAGAATAAACAGCTCATTTCTCAACATTTACATGATTCACATCAAATTGATGACATCCTAAATGTATTCCTTCTAAAGGATAGAAATTTTGCAATAAAATATTACATTTCATTTAATACTCTGGTACAATACTTCATACATTGCAGGAAAAAAAAAATAAATGCAAGGCCTATTCCACCTAATAAGATCCTTTTTCATTAGTCTTTAGTACTGCAATAAAAAAAAAATCACAGTAATGTCATAAATAAACAGGCTTGAAATTATTCATTACCTTTCACTATTGAAAAGGGAGAAATGAACAATTAATTTGAAATAATGGAGTTATGGGTAGAAAATCTAAGCCTGACAACACATCTTAGTCCCAGCTGCAAATTTCCTCAGCCCTACAACAACAAAAAAAAAAAGGGAACAGGTTGGATACCTTTGTTAGCTGTGTCCTGGTTAATCAGGTCTCAAACACATCTTTTAGGAGGAAAAAAGGAAAGTTTGGTCAGGATTAATAGAACCAACCAGGCCTAACAGGAGTTAGCTGAAATTAAAGTGTATTTCTCTAAAACATTCAGTAAATGACGTCTGCAGCAAATTCACACTGGCATCAATCATTGTGCCTTGGGAGCTGGGGGAAATTCCCCCTGGGATCCCTTTTCCAGCCCTGCTCCAGAACAAGCTCAGCCAGCACAGCTTCCCACTGAATTCCCTAAACCTGGGAATCCCTGAATCCCATCACTGATCTCCCCTGAACCAAAGGATGTTTCTCTTTGCTGTTCACCTGCCAGAACCCCAAAGTTATTTGGGAGAATTAATGCTGGGATTCATGCAGGAGACACTTTCAGAACCCTCCCTGTCTCTGGGGACAGATTTTAGGGTGCAGGGGCTCCCCTTTGGCGCCCACCAGGAGCCAAACCAGGCTCAGAAAGGAGAATTCATCCCTTTGGCCACAGATCCTGCTCCCCCCTCGCTGACATTCCCCCACACGTTCTGCACAAGAGCTCCCTGCTCCCGAGGAGAACAATTCCAAATAAAACAGGCTCTGAGCGAGGCCACGCTGTGCCGATTGCTGCCTGCATGGGTCCAGCTTTTTAAGACACTTCTCATGAACTGAGTGCACAGAGTTGAGATTCCCTCAGGATCCTTCCCTCCTTTCTCCTGGCTTTTCCCCTCCAGCTTGGAGCAGAGCAGCTCCAAACCCCGCCCGAGTGTGTCCCTCACCCTGCTCCAGCCTCTCAAGTGCACAATTTGATTTTGCACAGAGTTTGAGGCAAATATTTAATTACTCCGTGCAAATGTCAACACTTCCAAGCGATCCCTGCTCAGCTGGGAACAGGGAGAGGCTGGCAGGGGATGGAGAACAGGAATCTCTCCACCAAATCACATTTCTCTCTCCTCATCTTCTATTCCCACCTAGGAAGGGCACAAGGATTCAGGGCTAGAGCATAAGGCTGTGCCAGTCAAACACATTTATGGTGTGCTGGTGACAGGAGTTTCAAAAAAATCAAGTCCCAAAGCCCCCAAAAAGAGGCCAAGGGACAAAATTCTGCTTAATATTAATGAAGCACCTTCACTCAGGCCAAACAAACTGCTCAAATATCGGGGTTTGCAAAGCACTCAGGAGCAGGTGATGGCATCTCCACCTCTCCCAAAGCTGCTTCAATTAATTAATTAATTACATTCCAGGCTCCAGCAGGATTCCACCAGCAAAGCAAGGCCAACAACCCCATTCCAGCCACACAGGAAGGTCAGGAATCCCGTGTGGGGATGGGAATCACTCCTCAATGTCCCTGAATGTCCCCAAAATCAGGGACAAGGTGCTGGGGAGACCCCAGGCTCCAACTCCTGCCATGCACAGCTCCAAGGGGAGCTGCTGGTCCAGGGCAGAGCCAGGGGAAGGAATCACATGGAAGCTCACCAGCTCTTCCTTGGGGAGTCTCTGCAAGAGGCTCTGTCTCCCTGCCAGTGGTTTTCCATGCACTGGGACAGGAAGGTCCAGGCAGCTCCCAAAGGCACTTGGGGTGGGACAGTGCCCCCAGTGTGGCCTTGCTGCTCCTGTCCCACCAGGAATCCTGGGATCCTTCCTTCCTTCCCTAAAAAAACAAAATAATCCAGGAGGCTCCTGCACAGCTTCCACTTCGGTTACTGGTTTCACTGGGTTTAACATCCTGCAATTCGTAATTAACACCTGAATTCTCATTTAATTGAGCACAAAGTCACCACAGAGCGTCCTCACAAAGCACCCCCAGGTCACTGAGTCTCCTGAAGGACACAAGGAATTCCTATTCTGGGCACAGATCACGGAAAAGAAACTTTGTTTGATGTAAAAAAACAACTTTGCATAAATTCCTCCAAAATAGCCCATCCAGCCACACAGCAAAATTGGAATCAAAGCCACCAAAATCGGAATCAAAGCCACCAATTATCACAAAAAAAGCACCTTCATCTCAAGAACTGCTCACCCCAGGAAGCTCAGTCTGAGTTTGAAATGTATCAGGACTAATTTGATCATGCACTTGGTTCTATCCACGCTGGTGATCCACTGTTTTCCAACAATCCACATTGTTCCCATCAGTATTTTACATTTCATGGCATGGATTTATCCATGGCATTGCTCTCCCACCACCCACCCCCCACCCAGTGCCCCCCAAAAACCCCACAACTGCTCAAATAAGGAAAAAAAAAACCAAAACCCCACTAACAGCCATACTGTGAAACCAAAATACTATTTAAAAAAAACAAATGGATGACAGTCCAACAGTTTGCAGGATTCAAAACTGACTCTACAAAGTAATTGTCTACCTTGTAGAAAGGATTTCCTTTTATTTGGAAAATGAGCAATTGGAAATTGGAGAGAAGAGATAAAAACAATCTTTAGATGCTCTGAAGTTTTGCCTACTGAAGGATTAAAACCGTAAATAAAAAGGTACCAAGCCCTCAGAGTTCACTGCTCACGTGAAGCTTCTTCCATCTCTTTCTTGACCTTTTTAAAAACCATTTTCATGTCTGGGAAAGGAAAAAAAATGAAGAATTATTGAGGAAAAAACCCAGCAGTTGTTTCTTATTCAGGCATTGCACAGAAATGCTCTAAATAAAGTTTAAACTCAACCCAAAGTCTCGAGCCTGGCTGAGAAACCGTGCGGGTGCTTTGGCAGTGAAAGGTGAGATTGTGCATAAAGGTCATGAAAATTGAATTTAAATTAGCTTTTGGAACTCAGGCACCCTGTGGGGATCAATTCCAAGCATTCTGGGCATTTTTGGGGGCATTTTTGGGGGCATTTTCTCCCAAGCCAGGCCGGGCACAGCCCCTCCTCTGGCCATACACACCTGCCTTGGCTGGGAAGGCTCTGAACATCCTCTCATCTGAAACTCTTCTGCTGCTGCATCAGCCCCACGTTTTCATATACTCTAGCACTATCTTCTCTCATTCTGAAATGAAATCAGGATTTAGAGTCCCACCAAAAAAAAAATAAAAAAAAATCTTATAATACACAAAAAGAAATGTCCTATAATACACACCCCATAATTCAGAGACAATTAATTTCACTTGATTTATTTCAGAGGCAAGCCCAGCACAACAGGGCAGGTTCTGGGGTAACTGAGCCTCGTTTGAGGTCTCTGAAGAGGAGAGAAAACAGCTCAAAAACTGAGGGCAGGACTGGACTTACTCTGGACACGTTGGGGTTGGGGTGCAGGGGGGGAGAGGGCTCTGATCTCCGCCCGTCTGGTCCGATAAGGAATATTTAATGTTTGTGTACTCGTGACCTTTCCTCTTGCTCTTCTGTGAAGCAAAACACACAACAAAAAGCCAGGTTTGGGGTTAATCCCAGCAACCAATCATTGAGAAAGTGCAGCAATTCCACGAGGAGATACCCATGGGTGTTTTTAGGTTTATCTGTGAGGAGAGAGCTCATCCTGCAGTGAACACATCACTGAGCACACCTAAACCTGATAAATCCCCATTTCCACCCATCCCACCATCTCCAGCAGGACACACCAACCCTCTGAATGTACTCAACCCTCATCTCCTTGGCAGAAAAATCCCCATTTCATTCTTGAGCAGCCAGTGGGCTTCCCACTGACCTCATTTCCAGCTCGGAGCTGGGGCCAACAGAGCAACACCATTGTTTGCAGGAGCTCTAATAAAATAATATCTGAGCCCATTAGGTTTGATATAAAAAGCAGCCAAGCTGTTATTTGGATGGTGCACATATGCTCCAGGCTGCAGCCAATTGTGCTGGCACCCAGCTCCAGATCCTGCCAGGGAACCACGCTGGGAAAGAAACGGGAGATGGATTTTTCCTCTTCCCAGGCATCCACAAGGCCTGCAAACACTGAAACCTGCACGGTGGAAAATGAAGTTTTGCAGAGAATTTGGGGGCCGGGGAGGGGTTTGTGGGTTTATTTGGGGTTTTTTAATGCTGCCAACAAGTGCTGAGGGGTGACCCGATCTCACAGCAGAGGCTGGCGGAGCCTCCGGGGAGCTCTGGCTCCTGAATTCCCATTAAGAACATTCCTGGGATTGAGGCTTTTCCAGGATGGACTCCTGAACTCCCTCAGCTCATTCTGCTGATTCTTAAACCCCTCCTAGCCAGGATTTATGACAAAGCTGTCCCGAGCAGTTTGTGGGAACACAGCTCGGGAAAAGATTTGTTGAGCAAACCTGGGTTTGCTTCATCGAACAAAGTCTGGGAGACAAAGATGGATTGGTGGACACAGGGAATGCGGGATTTGTGGGATGGATGGACTGGACACAGGGAATGCAGGATTTGTGGGATGGATGGATGGATGGATGGATGGATGGATGGAATGCAGGATTTGTGGGATGGATGGACGGACGGACGGATGGAATGCAGGATTCGTGGGATGGATGGATGGATGGANGGATGGATGGATGGATGGAATGCAGGATTTGTGGGATGGATGGACGGACGGACGGATGGAATGCAGGATTCGTGGGATGGATGGATGGATGGATGGATGGATGGATGGATGGATGGATGGAATGCAGGATTTGTGGGATGGATAGATAGGTGGACACAAGGAATGCGGGATTTGTGGGATGGATGGATGGATGGATGGATGGATGGATGGATGGACACACAGAAGGCAGGATTTGTGGGATGGATGGATTGGTAGACACGGGGAATGCAGGATTTGTGGGATGGATAGATTGGTGGATACATGGAATGCAGGGATGGATGGATTGGTGGACACATGGAATGCAGGATTTGTGGGATGGATGGATGGATGGATGGATGGATGGATGGATGGATGGATGGATGGATGGATTGGACACAAGGAATGCAGGACTTGTGGGATGGATGGATGGATGGATGGACACATGGAAGGCAGGATTTGTGGGATGGACCACAAGGACATTTTGCAGGAACCAGCTGATAAAGAGGATCTAACCCAGTAAGTGTTGCAAAGTCCCCAGCAGGGAAAAAGACACTCAAAAGAGTAGAAATCTGGGCTAATTAGCACAGAAAGCAAAAGGTACAAATCCCAGCTGCTCTGAGGTCAGGGCAGGGAGCAGCAGGGACAAGGAGAAAACATCAGCTCTTTATCACAAAACCAGGAAACTGCTGTAAAACCCCCAAACTGCAGTGCAAGGAATCCCCTGAGCAGGAAGGGGCAGGGGAAGCTCTCTGTGCCTCTCACCACTTATTCCCAAACATTTCTGCTCCCACCACACTCCTGGGAGTGCTTTTTGTTGGACCACCACACTCACCCTTTCATTTTCCACTCCAATAAACTGATTTCCTACCAATAAACTCTCAAAACTGGAATTAGAGTGATCAGCATTTGATTTTCCCCTTTGAGGAATGCAGGGAACAAGCTCTGAAATCTCTTTAAAACACAAAGAGCACGAGGTTCTGCTTTAATTAACAGACCCTTATCTTTTATTCTTCCTCCACAGGAAATTTGATAACAGGAAGGAAATTTGAGATATGGGGACAGGGAGAGTAGGAGAGAATTCCACTTAAATTAAGGAGAGAATTCTACCTCATATTTTAAAGAGAAAATTCCACTCAGCAATTTAAGGACAGGATTGCACTCAGTAATGTAAGGAGAGGATTCCACCTAATAATTTAGGGAATGGATTCCAATTGATTTAAGGAGAGGATTCCACTTAATTTAAGGCGATGAATCCACCTGATAATTTAGGGACAGGATTCCACACAATGTTTTAAGAAGATTTCACCTGATAATTTAAGGAGAGGATTCCACCTGATATGTTAAGGAGAGGATTCCAATTGATTTAAGGAGAGGATTCCAATTGATTTAAGGAGAGGATTCCAATTGATTTAAGGAGAGGATTCCAATTGATTTAAGGAGAGGATTCCACACCATGTTTTAAGAAGACTTCACCTGATAATTTAAGGAGAGGATTCTACTTGACAATTTAAGGAGTGGATTCTGCATCATGTTTTAAGATTTCACCTGGTATTTTAAGGAGAGGATTCCACTTGACAATTTAGGGAGAGGATTCCACACAATGTTTTAGGATGATTTTACCTGATAATTTAAGGAGAGGATTCCATTTAATAATTCAAGGAGAAGAATCTACCCAATAATGTAAGGAGAGGATACCACCAAATTTAAGGAGAGGATTCCACCTGATAATTTAAGGAGAGGATTCCACCTGATAATTTAAGGAGAGGATTCCACCTGATAATTTAAGGAGAAGATTCCACCTGATAATTTAAGGAGAGGATTCCACACAATGTTTTAAGAAGATTTCACCTGATAATTTAAGGAGAGGATTCCACTTAATAATTTAAGGAGAGGATCCCATCCGATAATGAAAGGAGAGGATTCCACNGATTCCACACAATGTTTTAAGAAGATTTCACCTGATAATTTAAGGAGAGGATTCCACTTAATAATTTAAGGAGAGGATCCCATCCGATAATGAAAGGAGAGGATTCCACCTGATAATTTAAGGAGAAGATTCCACCTGATAATTTGAGGAGAAGATTCCACCTGATATTTTAAGGAGAGGATTCTACACAATGTTTGAAGAAGATTTCACCTGAAAATTTAAGGAGAGGATTCCACTTAATAATTTAAGGAGAGAATCCCATCCGATAATGAAAGGAGAGGATCCCACCTACCAATTTAATTATTTCTTAAGCACAACAAACTAAAATACAGGAGACAATTCACACCTTCAGCCTTCCCAGAACACAATCCCCAGCACTGCTGCTCCTGGCTGGGATCCTTTGGGAGGGACCCACCTGCTCCTCCTCGATCCTGCGCTGGAGGGTCTCGATGTAGTGCTGCACTGCCATGTAAATGAACCTGTACTGGGCCTCTGTCTGCACCATCCCTGAGCGCTGGGACCTCACCATCTGGATGGTCTTGGGGACATCGATGTCACAGTCCACCCCTGGGCACATCCACGGCGTTGGGGAGAGCAGGGAAAAGAACCAAGGTGAGGGTGGAGCTCACCTGAACCCTCCATCGGCGTTGCTGGGGTGGATCCGGGAGCGGGCAGGGAAACCAAAGGGTTAAAGGCAGGGCAATCAAAGGGTTAAAGGTACCTTTCTCTCGGATGATGTCAATGAGGATGTCAATGACAATGAAAGTTCCTGTTCGACCAATCCCAGCACTGGAAGAAGGAGGAAAAAAAAATGGAATTTTATTGTTTTGATCTTTCTGAATGCGCAGCAAAACCTCAGGTAAAGGAATTCTGGCATTAGGAGATAGGAGGTTTGCAAATTCTAGCCAGGGGCTTCCAAATTATAGCCAGGGGCTTCCAAATTCTAGCCAGAGTCAAACCAGAGACCCCAGGGAAGGCACAGAAATCAGCACTTCTGTCCCTCAGTGTTTATAAATCAGAAAAAAAAACTAAGGTCAGATCTAACATTTCTCTGCCTAAAAATTATATTATTTACAAGGTGAGAAGACCCAAAAAGGACAGAGCCTTCACAGGTGGGATGAGATGCCAGAATTCCCATGATCCTGCACTTGAAATGCTCCAGCCAAGACTGATCCCATCTTCTCATCCAACAGCAGAAATTTTCATTTATCCAAAGGTTCAGAGCCTGAAATCCCTTCCCAAGGGTACCTCATGCCACCCCCCCAGAATGTGACATTGCACAGACAGAAACCAGGGAATTCTGAGCAATTCCCAGGGAAAGCTGTTCTTTTTAACGCTCTCAGCTCCCTGGGCCAAAAGGAGGAGCGGCAGGAGCCTCACCTGCAGTGCACCACGACAGGTCCTGCATCAGGGATGCTCTCCTGCTTGTGGTGCACCTCCTCCAGGAAGTCCAGGACGCCGCCGGGGTCGCTGGGGACGCCGTGGTCGGGCCAGGTGCGGAAGTGGTACTGCCACACCGTCCTCTCCGTGTTGCCCTGCGGCACAGGGACACACACCTGCTGCTCCAAACACGGCTGGCTGCTCGTGGGGCACAGCTGAGCCCCCCCAAATCCGGCCCCAGCGCAGCTCCGCAAATCCCAAAGGAGGGAACAAGGCCTGGCCTGGCACATCCATCATTAAATCCCTCAAATTAAATAGCCCAGAGGTCAGGGAGCAGGACAAGATTCCTGTACTCCCCAGATTTTTTGGGATACACCATTGCAGGGAAAATTCCTCTTGACAGCATTAAATCCTGCCAGCTAAGCAGCAACATCTCTATGTTCAATTTTGTAATAATTAAATCCCATCATTCTGTTTTATTAGGGAGGTCTTGATGAGCTAAAACAAATGGCAAGAGTTTTGCTGCAGGAGCAGGGAATTTTTCCCTTCAAGCACCCAGAATTCCTGCTTGGCCACATCTCCTGTAAGTTTGAAATACAGAGATTCACAGACAGCAGCTGAAATTTCAGCAGGCAAACCTTAAGAAAGGGAGGTTTGATGGGACAGGAATCCGTCCCCAATTCCCCTGGTCTGCTTCTCCTCCCTGATCCAAACTGTTCCTTAACAGGAAGTGCCATTTCCACACTGTTTTCTCACCTTTTTATCCCTTCCCTTAAGTGAATTTTCCACACACAACTTTTCCTTTCAGTGCCACCATTTCCATGAGGGAGCAAGTGCCAGGCTGGATTGAAGTGCCCTCAGTTAAAAGCATTTTCCCTCCTCCCTGATTCCCTGCAAGCTCTGCAGCAGTTTCCTCTCCTGCCAAAAGCTGCTTAGGTAGGAGAATCTTCAATTATCCCAAGGGCAAAAAGAGAAAGATGGATGGAACTGAACGTGGAGCTTCAAAGAAAGGCAGGGCTCCATTTATTCACCTCCGAGTGCTTTTATTGATTCCAGGGAAATGGGCTAATCCTGACATTTTTTCCTTTGGTGATCCACAAGCTGGGCTGAAAGGACAGAGCTGTTTTTGTTCTCACCTGGCCAACTTTGGAAAGTTTCAGCTCCCTCAGGGTGTAGTCGTGGGCTGCACTCTCCTTCACGTTCCGGACACGCATCACCCCGTACTCCTTCAGGGAATATTCATCCGGCCAGTACTTCACACACTTACTCTGCAAGATTTCAAATTATAAAGGAAAAAAAAAAAAAAACAATAAAAAGAAAAGGAATAATCAGGCAGGAAAAAAAAAAAAGTTGCTTTGCAAAGTGATTAATTCAACCCTGAAGGTTTTGTTTTTGTTTCAGAGCCCACAGAGGACAATCAGCTGATGAGGTGAGGAATATTTTAATGGGGAGTTTCTCCTCTCCATAACAGCCACTGAATAATTTCAGACAGGTACAGGTCACCTCTCCTTTTAGCACATTTTTGGGATATTTTACACCTGGATATTTTCAAAAGCTGGAGATTGAAATCATGCTTTTTGCACCCCCTGTCACAGGTCTTAAAATACAGACTTCAGTCCCACAGCCCAAATCTACAGGCTGCAAAAGAAATAAAGGTCAAAGGTATAAATCATTCCCAGTGGAAATAAAACTTGGATATTTGCTTTTCCATGGCTTGCAGCAAGAAGGGCTGACCCAGCTCTGGTTCCATCACCAAAGATGGAAACTCCTGTAAAGGGAGTTTGTGGGTCTGTAGGTTCTGAAATGCAGAGTTTTTGGTGTGCTGCTGCTCCATCAGGATTGTCTCTGCCCAGGGATCAATTCCATCCACTGAGGAATGGATTCACCCACCAGCACCTGGATTTGGCTCCTGTGACAGGTCAGGAAAGAGCAACTCCTGGGAATGCAGCATCCAAGCAGGAATTACTGCAGGAGCAAACACCAAATCCTACAGAGCAATAGGGTCTATTTGCAGTTATCCTGAATATTCAGGAAAAAACACAGCACAGGGAAGCTCCTCCTGGCAGCCCAAGGCAGAGAAGATGGCTGAACACATGCCCACGTAGGCAACAAGATGCTTTCCTGCTATTTTTGCCCTTCTTTCCCTGTCACAAGGGGAGAAACAAGCAAATATTCTGAAACTGAAGCAAATACACTGATTTCTGGGGGGTGCCAGCAGAAATAACTTTGCAGTTTTCGATGCAGAGCTCTGAACAGCAACATGATGTTTTAAAATAAGCTTTGCTCTGCTGGAAGGGTTGCTGAACTGCCTCCAAAAACCCCAAAACTCCTTTAATTTCTAAGGATTTGCTGTTTCTGCACTTTAAAGCACATCCAGGAGTTGATGCAGGGCTGGGATGTTCCACAGTTCCTCCCTTCCTCAGGCTATGGAGGCAGCTCTGCTGCAAAGGTTCTCTCTTCCTGCAAACAGCTTGGCCTGAGATAAAAAAGCTTTGATTTGATACCAGGACTGGAATTTGCAATTCTTTAAGAAGTGAAATAGGCATCACAAAAACAATCAAGGGCGCAGAAAGAAGAAGCAATGCAGCACTGACGAATTAAGGTGTTTTCTCCAGCAAAAGGGATGAGCAAACTTTGAGGAAAAAAAAATGGAGAAATTGCAGAGGAGCAAAGGCCATTCAGGGGGTTCTTAAAAAAATAATAAATAACTTGAAGGAAGAAAGGTGCATTCAAATCAACTCCGTAATTTATTTCTCCTCTTCCAAAACAAAGATTAGCACTGGGAATGGGGAGCTTCTCCTCTGTCAGTGAATTCCAAGGAAGGAAACACAAATCCTGTCCCTTTATCAGGGGGATGAAGTGGCAAAAATTCACAAAGACTTAAAAAAAATAAATACACAAGACAAAGTCTAATGGCTCCAATAAACAGCACCAGTTTGAAGCTTTGACACCTTCATTAGGGAGAGAATCCTGTAAAATTTTCTGTTATTTGTCTTCAGCCCACTCACACAAAGTTCCTGGGAGTGAGGACCCCCTGCAATCATCAGTCACCCACAGACAAACTTCAGCTCTTAATTTGATTTTCCCCACAAATGATGCTCCCCTAAAAAAGCAACAGTTTTCTATTCAGGAACAGATAATGAGAATATGGATAAAGGTAAAAATGTGGACAATAGTGTGTGGAAGAAGCAAAGAAATTTAAAAGGAGAGAAGGGACAGTATTTATCAAACAGAAAAAAAGATCTGAAGCAACAAATTCCAAAAGATAAATCCTTACAAACCCCAGGAAGCTGTGTGTGGCTGCTGCCAGGATAAAAATGTTCAACTATTCCTATTCCTTCCTGCCTTGTATCATTTGAAACCAGAAACAAATTAAAATATCCCCAGGTTTGCCAGAGGCCAGGGAGCAGGACAAGATTCCTGTACTCCAAAGGGAAGTGGAGATTTGTGGGATACACCATTGCAGGGAAAATTCCTCTTTGACAGCATTAAATCCTGCCAGGGCAGCTCCCAGCTAAGCAGCAACATCTCTATGTTCAGTTTTCTAATAATAAAATCCCATCATTCTGCTTTTTAAGGTGGTTCATACAGGCTTGATGAGCTAAAATAAATGCCAACACTTTTGCTGCAGGAGCAGGGAATTTTTCCCTTCAAGCACCCAGAATTCCTGCTTGGCCACATCTCCCTTAAGTTTGAAATACAGAGATTCACATCCAGCAGTGAAATTTCAGCAGGCAAACCTTAAGAAAGGGAGGCTTGATGTGACAGGAATCCATCCCCAATTCCCACAGACACCAATAAAAAAAGGACACTCAGCACCTTCCAGAATTCCAAGGAATCCTGTGCCTGATTCCAGTCATAAATCAATTCATCCCTGTCAGATCAGCTCCTGAATGTCAGAATCTTTCCCAAAGCCAATTGGAGTTTGGTTTTACCTTTCCTCTTTCCACTTCCTTCGTGGTCATGACAATAACTCTGGAATTCTCCTGGAACACCATCCTCCAGAAATCATTCACTGTGTTCTGCAGGCAGCCTTGGGTAGCAATGTAACTTTTTTTTGGCTTTGAGTTGTTGCACTTGGTTTCAAACTCAGGCTAGAGAGGGGAAAAAAAAAAAAAAAACCAAACCAGGAATTCAACAAATTGTGTGTGACAGGATTCCCTTGGATTTAGGGAAGAGGAGGTGGGAATACACTCAAATCCACTCACCATAATAATATTAGCATTGATATAGTCTGAAACGGGTTCATTGGGATCACCATCGTGGAGAACAACTCTGGTGTGATCAACTGCAAAAACACACATGCATGTCAAGCACTTGCAGCCCACAGTTGTGAACACATAGCAGCTATTAATTAATTATCAATCCTAGTAAATAAGTGATCAAAATACCAAATTGCCTGTTCTGTTTCCTTTAAAGAAGCTGCTGTGACCAGCTGGACCAAAACATGTCCATGTCTGGGAATTCAGGAACACTCAAACACCAAGTCAAGGCAAAGCCTTGGGATTTGCATGTGCCAGTTCTGGCCTCCAAATTAATCCTCTTAAATTTAAGTATCCCAGCCTGTTGAGTTGAGGGATGTGAGGCTTTTAAATGAAGATAAAAACCAACATTACAAATATCTACAAAGTGCAAATGTGTGAACCCAAATTGGAAATCACTGGATAATCCTGATAAGAGGGAAAATCATCATTAAAGAGAAGCCAAAGGCCAGTGGCACTTAATTAACCCTGTACTAATGAGGAAAATAAACCAGAGTAACATTAAACGGCAAGGAAGGGTCGATACTCACAGGGTAAAATGTTTTTGTATCTATTTTTGTTCTTGTTTTCCTGGCGCTGCCCTTCCTTGCGGCTGTAGAGGAGTTTGCATTCCTGCTGCTGCAAGGTCTGAGGGGAGAGCACACACAGGGGGGCTCAGGAACAGCAGGATGGGCTGGCCCACGCCCACAGCAATCCCAGAGAAAAGGCAGCAGAGGGGCATTAGGTGGTGGGTTATCCATAATTTATTTATCCATGAATTACCCCAGTCAGGAACAAGCTGCAGTGGGGATTTTCTGGGACACAACGTCCCAGGGACAGCGGCAATTCCAAACTTCCATGGCAAATCTCCCCACTCCCAAAGCTCCCTGGAGCTGGAGGCACCAGGATCCCAATGCTCTGCTCCAAGTTTTCATCCCCAAAGCAGTTCCTGGTCCCACTAAAAGGAACACTCGGGTTTTGGGAGCTGCTCCCCTCATCATTCCCACCCTCCAGACTCTTTATTTAACTGGCACATTTGCTCACTCCTGTCTCAGTCTGATACTCCCTCACTTGATGACCTTGGATAATTGGGCTGATCCTAAAGGCAGCGAAAGCAAAAGAAATTTAAGAGATGAAAAGTTTTCAAGCTTGTGACAAAAGGGCGGGAAACAGCTCCCAAATTCCAGCCTGTGGAATTCCAGGCAAAAGGTCTGAGAGCCAAACTTTCCCAGCAAGTTAAAGAATTGGAGCAATTAAATGTGTGTGGAAACCACATCTTCCTTCCTAGAGTTAATTATCATTGCTTGGAGCATCCCTGAGGAGAGATCCACGAGCAGCAGTGATCCCAACAAGCCCATTCAGAGCCATAAATCTGAATATTCTCCTCCACCTCAGCACAACATCCCAGCACTAAGCTCAGAAATAACCACTTTTCAGAAGGAAAAACACTACAAGGGCTGTGAACATCCCGGTTCTGGTGCTTCCTGGGACAAGAGGAAGCATTCCTGCCTGGAGACAAGTGATTTAAATTCACCATCTGGGCTGAGCAGCACACACAGGGATCCATGGGCAGCCTGGAGTGCACTCCCCCCTCCTGCCACCATGGGGGACAGCTGGAGCTTCCCTGAGGGAATGGAAAACAGGGAAAACAGGGCACTGAAACTGCCAGGAGAGGGCTACAATCCCAAAAAAACGAGGGTTAGTGCTGAGCTCAGTGACAGCAGCAAAGGGGAAAAAGAAGTGCAATGTCCCACAGGAAAAATTCTTCATTTATTTGCTTTTCCTGCTAGACTTTTCCTTGGACTGAGAAATCCACTCCAAGAAAAATTTTTTCAACGTGAAGCAGAGGTCAGGAAAGAACTGTGAATTAATAGTTCAGTTGTGTTTTGCCAAACCAACAATCCCTTCCCACACACACACAACCTCTGCTGACTTCCTTCCCTCTCCAGATGGAATTCTGGCCGTTCTGACCATCCAGCAGCCCTGCATCAAGGGCTGTCACCTCTCTCTGGAAGGAGAAAGGAGAAATCTCAATCCTCATTTTATCATTTCCCAGTGCCATCACCTCACCATCTGCCATTCCCCTCACACACCTCTGTGCTAATTCCTTCCCTTTCCATGGATTAATTCTCCCTCTCCTGGCAACAATCAGAGCACACTGCACATTTAGCCAATGGATATTTCTGAACAAGGAGGGTTTCTGCAAGCATGGTCACTTTGCAAATCCATCACTATTCAGGAAGTTTCTCACAGCAGCCTCTCTGGAGCTCCCTGAGCACTTCCCAGTTTCCTGTTGCCATCTGCTGGTGGAATTCCAGACTCCTCTGGTGCTTTTGTGTGTGTGTGAGGTACAAACCAGTCCATTACCCAGCCTGGAGTGCTCCAGACCAGGCTGGATGGGGCTTGGAGCCACCTGGGATAGGGAAAGGTGTCCCTGGCCATGGCAGGGGTGGGGTACAATGGGATTTAAGGTCCCTCACAACCCAAATCATTCCACTGTCTCAGGCTGCTCCAAGCCCCAGCCAAACTGGCTTTTAACACTTCCAAGGACTGGGCACCCACAGCTTCTCTGGGAAGAGTTTCTTCCAGATTATGGAAGGATTTCTTCCCAATATCTCATCTAAACTTCTCTTCTAGTTTGAAGCCATTCTCCTTGTCCTTCTGGAAAACAATTGGAATTTTGCCGACAGAGAGAAATGAAACACCAAAACAAACCAAAATTAAACCTCCAGAAGTCCAAGAAATGCATATAATCCATGCTGTTTTATCCCAGAGCTTTCTACCACTTCCCAATGGCTTTAAGATCCTCAAAAACGAGCATCAAAAAGCCACAAGGACAACGGATGGACTGAGAAATGGAAGTGTCTCTAAAGAAATGGCTCCCAACTTCCCAAACTGCAGAAGGAATTGGAAGGATTGTCCCGGTGGGACAAACAGGGAAGGACATCCAGGAGGATATCCTGGACAAAAATCACTCTGAGAATCAGGGAAAAAAAGGCAAATATCTCAAGCCACGAGAGTGGAGCTGGCAAAGCCCTGGAGATGGGAGTAAAGCCATGGATGTGAGGGGATGGAAAGGAGGAAACAGCAGGAAAGCAGAACCCAACTTTGGCAGTGTGAGAGTGAGCACTGGAGGGAAAAACTGCAGGAAACGCTGCGGGAAACACTCCCTGGGATGTCAGGAATCACCTCAAACTCTTCCCAGAAGCCCTGCTTGACTTTATCCGTGGTCTCTGCCAGCTTGCTGAGCTCCCTGACGCGGCTCTCGATCTCGGCAGCGTTGATCCGGGTGGTGTTCAGGGGCTGGGCACACACAAACACCACAGGTCAGCCAAGAACAGCCATGCAAAGACAGCTCTAACACAAACCCCCCAAGATCAGGATATTTTAATGGGATTTTAGGATCCAGGCTTTTTTTTTTGGATGTCAGTGTTTTGGGATTCGAGCAAAGGGCAGTGAGGAAGGGGATGGTGAACAGTTGGTTTTAAAGCGTCACAGTTTTTATTTAATTATTCATTTAATTATTTAATGCATTAAATTGTCTCATTTCCGGACATGCCCTGCAACTCTTACAGACCAGGAAATTCTGCACATCAGAGACAAGACAATCCCTTCCCAAGCCTAACAAAAATTTACTTTTTCATCCATTTCATGAAGTTCAACTCCTCATTTTTTTCCCCTCAGAAAAAAGCCTTGCAGAACATATGGAAAAGCTGCATTTCAACAACACATCCTGCAGATGGCAAAGCTCAGGGGTGGCCTGTCCTCCTCACCTGCTTGAGCTGCAACACAGTGCCCAAAGTCTCCACCATGGGGTTCTTCTTGTAATGCTCCACCAGATCTGTCAGAGAGTCAAACTTCTCCCCTCCACCAACGTCGTATTTGAGATCCTGAAAAGACAAATAAATAAATATTTGCATATATTTGTCCAAATAAATGCATTTCCCACCACCACAGCCACAGCACCTCTAGGCTGTGCCTTGCATCAGAAATAACCTCCAAAATTATGTGTGGAAGGCTCTACTGAAATCCTTCTGCTAAAGGATAGAACTTTATTAAATAGAAACAGACACACTGCAGGACATTTCCTTTTTTTGCCATCTCCTTGAAAATCGGTTTATCTGCTTTTTTTAGAGAGCTGATTCCCTCTGAACCAGGGCTCAGGCAGCTCTGGAGCTACAGGATGAGAATTCAGGAATTAGAGATTTGAATTGATTTCCAAAATTAAGTGTATGATTGGGTCCTGAAAGGCTGGCACTGCCTGGCACCATCTCTATTTTAAGGAAGCAAATGCCAAATTATTTTCCTCAAAGGCAGAGATGCTAACTGCAAGTCAGAGAGGTTTTCTTGAAAAAATAAACATATTCTGGTAATTCAGCATTTACAGTCCTGGTGGGTCATTTCTCCCTCCAAACTACTTCTGTTACTGCATTTTAGGTGTTTTTATACAATTCGGTTATTACACTGCCTTCGGGCACAACAGAAGTAAAAGAGAATAAGAAAAATCCATTTTTTTTTTAAATCTATGATTATTTTTTAAATAGCAGCCCATGGAGACAGATTAAATATGAAAACTGTAATTTAGTAATATTTCAGTGAAGAAATATTAAACAGAAGATTTAGATTTCAGGGCATTCCTTGGAGTGAACACTCATTTTCACAGACTGTTGATCATCCATCAGGTGTAACTGCCTGAACTGACAGCACAGAGACATCTGTGGATAAATCTCCATTTATCCAATCACTCCTATTTTGATCAAACCCATCCAGGAGACTGCAAAGGCTCCCTGAACACAGCAGAGTGTGATTTGAGCCAGAAGGCCCTGACAGGAGCCAGCCAGCCAAAAAATATTGGAATTTTGAAGCCATCAAAGGAAACATTTTGATCAAAGGGATGACCTGCAGCAAAAGGGGAAAAGGGGAGAGGATCCAGAGCCCATGGAGTCGCTGCTGCTCCTACCTGGCAGTGGATCATGACGTGTGTCACTTTGGATTTGCCGTCGTTGCTCTCTCCTTTGTCATCCCCCGTCCTCACAGAAAGGACAAAGTCCCCAGGGTGGCTCTGGCTCTCCCTCACCAGGAAGCTGCCATGTTTTCCTTTCTCTGTCAGGAGCTTCTCAGCTTCTCTCCCTGAGAGATGCCCGTGAAACCACCTGGAAATGAAGAGGTGAGACACCCTGCTTAGCTTTCCAGCTGAATCCGTTTGTTCCAGGTGTTTATTATGGAATTGAATCCTTCTGTTCACTCAGCAGCAGCCGGGTCTAGGGAAAGCCTCGGTTGGTAAAAATAATAAATAAAAAAAGCTTTGGAAGTGTCCAGGTGCACATCAGTGAGGACGGAAACACCTCAAAGCACTTCCATGGAGTTTCCTACAAGTTTCCAGTGAAGCTTTGATTTGGATCCTTCACAACAATCCAAATAAACACCAGGTTACACTCCAATCTTCCCCTCAGTCAAGGCATTCATTCTTTTATTTCCTTCATGAAATTTCCCTGATAAACTTGTGGAAACCTCATACTTTTGAGACCCCACCCTTCTATCCCATTAGGAACTGGAGAGGGTAATCCCAGCAACCCCAATTCTTCAGGAAATAGGCCAAAAAACCATCAATCCTCCCCACCTCTGTTAAGGCATTAAGAGAACTTGTTTGATTATTTTTCCTCATTTTTTCACTTCAAGGAACAAACAGGTATCTGCTGGTTTAGTTCTGACCCCTGATATTTCCTCAAATCCAGAGTCCCAAATTCTCCTTATTAACCCCACTCCTCAAAACAGGAGTTCGAGGAATCTGAGGATTTGTGCAGCCCTCACTTTCTACCCACTGCTAGGAAAAGCACAAAAAGTTATGCCCAGAAATATCCCTGGGAATTCCTTGCAGCAGCAACAACATCAGAACTTCTCAGATTAAACATTCTCCCAGTGAGAATAAAGGGAAATAAAGGAAAATAAAGGGAATTTTGCCCTCTATTTCAGTCCCGTCCCACCCAAGAAAGAATCCTGAAGGGAACAGGTTCTGAGGCCTGGATTGCTTCACCTTTAACCACATTTATTCATCTACTTTGCAAGAAACCTCCCTGAAACAAATCCAAAGTCGTGGCCACCCTTTTCCCAGAGGGAGGCAGAAGAGGGATTAACACAGCATTTATTAAGCAGCACAAGGACATGGAGGTTCCACCATTTCCCTGACCTTTCTGAGGTGGGATCAGCACAGTTGAGGGGATATTTCAGCTCGATGACATCTCCATTCTTTTCCTTGAGCTGCCCATGGTGCTCCATGTAGTACTGCACCAGCTCAGCCAGCGTGGCAAACTTCTCTCCCCCATAGAGGTCATAGTAGTCACCTGTGTTCTGGATCTTGATGTGGGTCACTGCTCCAGTTCGCCTGAGATTTGAAACAGAGGACAAAAAACCCTTCCCAAGTCAGCTGATCAATCAATCAATCAATCAATCAATCACTTTTAGATTTGGTGATGCCTGAGGTGGAGAGATCCATGTTCACAATTCCAGCATGGAGCTGCTGCTCCTCTGCTCCAGCTTCTCTGCCCACCAGGCAGGGAGAACAGGAGAAAAGTTCTGAGCTGGAATTGGCAGCACAAACCAATTCTGTGCAGACTGGAATTGGTCTGCAGCCTCAGGAGCCCCACCAGAAACCCCTCAGAGCCACACAAAATTCCACACACAAGCACAAAGAGGAGGGTGAAAGCTGAATATTCTGGACATCCAGCAGAGCTGGTTTGCTCCTTTCTCCAGAATTCCCACCAGCTCCCAAAGTCTCTCCCTCAGGAAATATTTGCCTTTGCCTGCTGCCACAGTCTCAATCAATATGAAGGAAGAGCAGCTCCCAGCAGGAATCCCCTCCTGTGCCACAAGGGCTGTTATCTCACAAGTATCCAAGCAGCACAACTCTTATCACCAATCCCACTTTTCCCTTTTCCTTTATCTACTTCCTCTTGCTGTCTTTTCCCCATCCCTACCACGCAGTGTCAGGGGACAACTGCCACAGAGGGCCTATTTTGGAAGCTGAAAAAGCCACAGTTGCCCTTAAAAACTTGCTGACTCTTCCTGTGCAAGGAGAGTCTGGATTTCCTGCTGGATCACTAATTCCCAACACCTCTGGCTCCTTCCAGCTGGTGACCAAATGGATTTATAAAGGGCTAAAAGCAATGTTATTATCAACCTGCTTCTGCTTCTCCTGAGCATTTCTGTCCTGCTGTAAAATCAGAATTCCCTCCCCTCCAATTTAGAGCTGAGTAAAAGTTTTTGAGAAGTTCTTCAGGGAAAATGGGAGAAAAAGAAGAGGGAAAAGCGAACAACACTAAAAAGTGACCAGAGCATTCTTCCACCTCTTTCAAGGAGTTCACCCACAGCTCCTTCTCCGTAGGATAGCAATAAATTAAGATTATTACCAAGCTGGGGCAAGACTGGGAAGAGCCAAACTCACCTAACAGAGAGTGTGAAGTCTCCTGGGTTACTTTTGCTGGGCCGTGCCAAGAAGCTGCCATCGACTCCTCTTGTTAACAGCAGGTTTTCTGCCTCCACCCCAGTGATGTTTGGATGAAACCATCTACAAGAGGTTAAAAAATAAAGAATGTTAATAAATAAACAGCAGGTTGTCAGAGTTAACTCACAGAGAGCAATGTGACAGCTTGCACACTGAGCTTTGCACCTAAATTAATAAAATTTCGCTATTAGTTTCACATTGCAACTTTATGCATTGCAGCTTTCTGTAAGCCTAAGAATTACACTTATCTCCATTCTGATTAAAATGATATCAAAGGTACACAACATAAACACAGACCAGAAGTGGTATTTCCTTACTCCAGCAAAACACAGCACACAAAGAAACTGAAAGACAAACAGGAAAAATACCTAAAAATAAAAACAAAACACCCAAAGTGACACTCGACAACATTTTGAAGGTTAAAAACTGAACAAAACCTCATGGTTTAGGGCACAGCTGAGGGGGCCAGGAAGGAACTGCCTGCGTGGACACCCCACTGCTCTTCCTCGCAGGGATGTGGGGCCAGGGCTGGGTCTGCCCTGTTTAAATACAGCCCCAGAGGAATCTCCCATTGATCCTCACCACCCACAGACTGCTCTCAATGACTATCCCAGAGCCCAGGCAGAGCTGGGGCCAGCAGCTCCGTGTCCCCACCTCTGGCATTGACTTTGGGACTTATTTGGGAGGCACTCGGTGCCACCGCTGCCTCTGCTCTTAGCTGGAATTTGCCCGTTTTTATTGCAGCCCTGAGGGAGTTCTGCATGAAAGGGTCTGGGGAGAATTTTCTTTCTAAAATTCTAAGAATAAACTGTTGGTGCGAGCAGCTCGACCTCAGCTCTGCCACTTTTGCACTCGGCAATTAAAAAAATCACCTTTAATTTTCAGGGTTAAATCCTCGTTGTTGGGTGCTGAAAGAACCCAGCCTGCTCCTCTCTCTGTTCACCTCTGGGTTTTTCCAAAGTACAACAAAAATATATCCAAAAAAGCTCCACAGGCAGGCTCGTCACAGAGAGAGGAATGTTATATCCAGAAAAATGGAACAGCATTCCTGATCCTTCCTGATCCAGTCAGCATTTCGGGCTAAATTGCTAAATCAGCAAAATATGAGAGCACAGGTCTAAATTTAGGGTTATTATTTCAATTGTTGCAGCAATTCCTTCTCTACTGAAGAGTTGCCAATATTCCCACCAAAGCCTTCTCTTTAGAAATGTTCTGGAGTTTTAGGATTCTAGAAAATCCAAATCCCCAGCAAGTCATTCATCAGGATCCTTTTCAGAAATAAATTGTGTGAATTTTCTTGTGAATCTTTTCTTCCCCTAGTTCATAATATTCTACTTGCACCATGAAAATCTAGTGAATAGTCCCCATCTTTCCCTGAAGAACAACACAGAAATTATCAAATTTATGCACAGGACATGGAAAAATACATACAAAAATACTTCCAAATTATCACAGCAAATGGGAATGAACTAATGAATAATGTTACATTTATCTAACAATTATTCAAAGGTCAAGGAAAGTTCTCACAAGAGAAACTGCACAAGCATCAGTACCTGGCATGAAGTGAACATTAAATAACACATTTCAGCCCACAACAGGTTGCCTGGAGAAGGTGATCATATATTTACCACATTTTTACTCCCAAAATTTTACCTTTTTTTTTTTTTGTTTCTGTTTTTTCCATTAGGAAAAAACAAACACAAAAGGAAAAAAACCCACAAAAAGCAAAACAAAAAATGTGCAGTAATATTTTGAAATTTGAAAGGTTTTTAAATATGCACAGGAATCAAGAGAAACCTTGGTAAATTTTGGAGTTTATGGCAAAAAAAAAAAAGTCTAAATAGACAGAGGAGAAATTTTTGAGTTTACAGCAAAAAACTGTCTAAAGAGACAGAGGAGAAATTATTGTGATTGCTTCTCCAGATTTATTATATTGAAATTGCATAAACTTCAACCAGTGAAATATCTTCTGTATCCCACCCTGAACCTTAAGCTGTGCATGAGCTGTTACAACAAAGGAAAAATAATAATTTATGTACAGAGATAACTACAAATAACCTGTTATTTAACCAGCATTTAAAGGAGAGCTTAAACACACAAAAACCCTATAGATGGTCCAAAATCTCTCTCCCACATCCACACCAAGACGCAGCAAAGCCAAGCTACACCTGGGAGGGATTTCTTGCCCTTTATGTAACTGTGGCTCTGCTGGCACCTCGTCCTCCTGCTCCCTCAGCTCCGTATTTTTGGCTTTGAGTAGGAAGCTGCATTTGTCAGGCACCCCAAATAGCAGAATGGGGGTGTCAGGGATCCCTGCCAGCGGTTCCGGCCGCCAGGAGGATCCTCCTTGAAGCGCTGCCATCCCTTGTGCTCCCAACCTTGGGGCTGCAGCCCTTCCAAACGGGGAGGGCACAGCCAGGACCCGCTCTCACGCTTCCTTTTATAGGGATGGAATGCATTTTGGGCTTTTTTGTGCTCTTTTCCCTGCCCGTGGCCGTGGCAGCAGGTGCAGAGTTGGTGCCCCGGCCAAGGGCAGTGAATACAATCCCAGGGGTCACCCAAACCCACGCCCTTGGCAGGGCTGCTCCTCACCATCCCTCCCGCAGCAATTCCCACTCCGGGGCTGGGAATGCATCACTGCCAGCCCACAGTGAGCTCACAGCAAGGTGGGGATGTTGGTAAGAAACAAGGGGCTCAAAATCAAGGGGGTGTCAGCAAAGCGAGGAAATTTCTGATGGGAAAAAAAAAAAAAAATCCACGATGGAAAATCCACAGCGATCCCTTTTTTGTTGTCGTGGTCCAGCAGGATCTGTGCTCCCTAAGTCACACACTGCCAGCACATTTCTCTCTTACCAAACCAAAAGAAATAAATCGATACAATTTTCCACGCGGTGATTGGGGTTTTTAATCACCTTTGCAAGAGCAAAGGAGAGATGAAATCAGTTCTGTCTCAGCTGTCACAGCCCCAGCACTGGGGATGTGCTGACGGGTACTTTAATTACTCCTATTTATAGGCTCATCAGTTGATATTTCCCAGCTTTTTTCAGTCTCCCTCACAAGTTGCAGTTTAGGGCTCTGAGCAGACTAACAGTAAATATTCTGGCAAGGAGGAAACTCACAGAGCTGCCCAAAGGTGACTTGTAACCTTGCTCCCAGTGTGAGCAGGGACATCCAGAGAGCACAACATAGACTAAAAAACCTCCATACAGTTCAAAAAACCCCAAATCCTACTATAAATGGCCATGGATTGAAACCAATTCACCCAGATTCACCATCTTGAGGAGAAAAGAGAGAGGACAACTTACCCTTGGAGAAATTATAATTTAATAGCTATTAGTTGTAGAGGTGAATCAATTGAAATTGTGGCTGCCCCATCCCTGAAGTGTCCAAGGTCAGGCTGGAGCAATCTGGGATAGTGGAAGGTGTCCCTGCCCATGGCAGCGGGGGGAAATGGGATGAACTTTATGACCCTTCCAACCCAAACCATTCTGGGAATCTCAGAATAGGTTGGTTCAAAAGGATAAATACATTTATAGCATTTTCTACGCCAATAATTCCTCTAAAGCCCAAAGCTCACCCAAAAGGACACCGGGTACAAATATCAAAATCCATCAAGGACAGTGAGAAGCTACAACAAAGAAACGGGTTTGGCTGTTCGTCGCCGTGCTCTAGCAGTGCCACAAGGGTTTGAAATCAGAGCGAACGCTGATAAGTGATCAAGAGCGCAGGTGTGGGGAGCTCAGGGACACTCCGGGCCGTGTTTCAGGGTCGGTAAATCAGCGCTGCTGGCCCTCGATGGAACACGAACGCGGCACTGAGCAGGTCCCAGTCACCAACAATCCATCCCTCGGGCTCCATGGGGACATTCACGGGAACCCCCCCAAACCGGGGCACCGGGGCAGCTCCGGCCACCAACGAGACACTCGAAGCCCCCCGATCCCTGCACGCCCGGGAACGGGC